TAGTGATGGCTTTTACGTCACCACATTGACAGGTAATGTGTGATGTCCACTTCACTTATATTATTGTATCAAAATAATAATCAAATCACGTGTGATGTTCATGTTTATTACGTCACGATCATAGTCGGATCACGTTTGACATTCGCGTACGGTCACAGACATTGTCAGAAAACGTGTGGTTATCACGTTTATGTTGCCGTTAAAGTCAGATCTCGTGTGATGTTCACGTATATTACATCACAAACATAGTCGGATCCCGTGTGTTCACGTATATTACACCACAAACACAGTCGGAGCACGTGTGATGTTCACGTAAATTACATCACAAACATAGTCAGATCACGTGTGATGTTCACGTATATTACATCACAAACATAGTCAGATCACGTGTGATGTTCACGTATATTACATCACAAACATAGTTAGATCACGTGTGATGTTCATGTCATGTCCCTGTCACAATTATAGTTAGATCACGTGTTATGTTGGCGTTTTTTAAAGTCATAATCATACTCATAGTCAAGTCATTTGTGGTGCTCACATTTTACTAGACTCAAAGGGGTCGTTTTAGAAATGATTACTTTTGTTATCATCTATTACTACTATTATAATCATTATTATTGTTATTATGATTATGATTATTATGATTATGATGATGATGATGATGATGATAATGATGATGATGATGATGATGATGATGATGATGATGATGATGATGATGATGATTATTGTTATAATCATTATTATTCCCATTACTGTCATTGATGATGATAAGGTATATGACAATAACAATATTCGAACTCCCTTCAACCCACCCCACCCCTCCCCTGCAGACTCCAACCAAGAGAACCTCCAGTCCTCCCTATCCTCCATGACACCTCCCATGCCCCCGATGCCCGCTATCCCACCTATGTCTGCCATGAACGGAGTGTCCATGCTGCCCACCCACCTGCACGCCAGTCGACCCGGCCAGCTCTACTCAGACTACTACAACAGCTATCCAACCTATGCAGATTCGTATATGAGCTCGTCCAAAACTCGCCCCTCCCCCTACGGATGTCCCGTGGATTATGGGAACTATACGCCAAGAGTGAAGAGTATTTATTATCCGGATTAAATGGCACGAGTTTTGGGGAAGGGGAAGAGGATGAAGGTATCTGTTATCCGGATAAGTTGGAAGTGGTTTTGTTTTATTATAAAAGGTTAAACATATCTGTTATCCGGATTAGCTTTGAGGAGGGTTTTTTTTTTGGGGGGGGGGGGGGTGAATGAGGTTAATCGTATCTGTTATACCGACTGGCCTTAAGGAGTTTGGGGAAAATGGAAGAAGTTAAAAGTGTGGATTATCCAGGTTACTTAGGGCGAGTTGTTTTTGTGTGTCAGTGAGAGAGACAACAAGTACGGGGAGTGTGAAGTGCAGCGATACGTCTCAAGACATTTTTATTCTTAATTTGTCGAAAGCGGAGAAAAAGTAATATGTCCGCTTAACTTTGCTTCCAGGTTGTGTTTTTGATTATGATTTATTTGTTTGTTTGTTCGTTTTTGGGGGTTTTTTTTTGGGGGGGGCGAGGTGCAGGGTCCAACACACGGGGGGGCACTCTGCTTAACTTTGTGTTCCGTCTGACGCAGACAGGGCGAAAAGTTGCCTTTGGGTTTAGAGTTTTGGGTGTCGTTTGGGGTCACTCATCAAGGACATTAACTTATTTTCTTTAACCTTTTGATTGTAAAAACCTTTGTATATACTACATGTGTACTCAACTTCACAAATTTTTCATGGTGCCCTAGATTCTCGGGGTGATCCTAAATCTATACATTTGACATTAACTCGCTCACTTCCTGACCTACTTTATAACCTTAGGAAAGAGATTTAAAAGTTTCGGGCCAGGAAGTGTAAGAGTTAAAGCAAATTGTATAGAACAGATATGTGATCCTTGGTGTGATTTTAGGCAACTTTATTTGAAGACTCCAGTTGTAAAACAGGATAAGTCATAATTAAAACAAAACAGTTTTTCCCCCAATGTTACATTTCAAAAACATCGAATTTGTCTTCTCCGCAAATGAACACACAGGTAACCGAAATATGTACTGTGGTAGAAGAAACGTTACATTCACTATTACTAATAGGTAAGCACTTTCATTCTTTGAATTTCCATTTTCTCCACTATTTCAAAATGTGATTCGTTTTTTTTTTCCGCTGGCGTCTTTATTTGATTGAAAGGAAAGATTGTCATAATTGAAATAATATGTCTTCTCCACAAAACTAAACCGACTGGTATACCATCTCATCACTCGTCGTATAACTGCTATTTGATGTTAGTTGTCTACGTGCGAAACATATTATTATTACTTTTCTACTTTGACTTTGAAGAACACTATGGGAAATTAAACACAGCCAAACAATCAGGTTTAGACAAAACAAAATGTGAAGTTCAAAACACACTGTGCGTTGATCGCGGGCTGCGAGTTAAAGACGCCTGGTCTAACATTGTTGAGAGCAGACCAGGAAGTGGGGTACGTGCAAACATAGGCAGTACCTCAATAATTTACCAGTTTAACTGACTTGGTTCGTTTACCCGTAGTGGCCTTCCTCCGTTCCTTTCATCCTGAAGCGTTCACTCAGATTACATCGCATGTTTTGTAATATGATTTCTAGAAAAAGTCTACTTCATATATACATTGATAATTAAAATCGTCTTTCGCGCATGGCGTCATGGCTATCCCCATGTTGGTCGTACAGAGAGTGGAGATCCTGGATGGGCGTAATAACTCAAGTAAGTTTCAATGTAGACATCAACTAGACCTTTACCCGAAACTTGTTATTTTGCCCTTTTGCCCCCATCCTCCTCAAAACGATTTGTTTTTTTCTGTAATGTAATGTTTTCATAATATTTTTGTGCAATCTATAGACTTTTATTATAATATCCTAGACTGGGCTCTGTCATGGCGGCTACTCTTTGCTCTCTATAAGAACTCAGTTGTGTTGGTGCACACATGGGTGTGTGCATGAAGAGCAAAAATTACCAGTCTTTTTAAGTTTAAGTTGAGGGATTGCGGCGTTCGCAACTGCATACGGTCATATGAGCGCCAAGGGGTGGATGTCAACAGAGAAGTCCTTACAGGGAATCAGGCTTACTCTGATCACCTCTCTAGCTTCAACAGCACAAAGTCTGCTTCGACTGTCAAGGTACCCCAGAAATAGCGGGTCACAAGAGTATGAAAAACATACAAAAGAAGAAGAGGAAAAATGACGATTGTAAGGATTAAGAACGAAAAAGCAGCGGTTCCCTGTTGCAGTTTAGGCACAGTTATGAGCATGACATGGATGAATCAGCAATTTACAGAAAATTCTACTGTGTACAAGAACAGGTCAATGTCCCCCCTTTGGGAATAGCCTAAAGACACTTCAGTTAGTAGCACCACCCCGGGGGTAATACCAGTCTCACTAAAGGCTCTCGGACTCGCAACCGTAAGGTCGTGGGTTCGAATCCCGTCAGGGGCCCGACGTCGTGTCCTTGGGAAAGGCACTTTACACGAATTTTCCTCACTTCACCCAGGTGGGAATGGGTACCCGGCTATAGACAGCGAAATATCTTGTCAGTTTGTTAGTGTTTGAGCGCTTAATCGGCTGCTCGCACTGTCTGCTTCCCGGGAAGCTGAGAATGTTTCGGAGTGTTCTATGGTCTGCTGGGGTAATAATATAGTGTAAAGCGCATAGAGCCTGCTGCTGAGCGGGGATATGCGCTATACAAATGCTATCTATTATTATTAAAGTCGAGTGTGCGCCCAACCTTCCCCATTGTTCTTCATTCGGTTCCAAATGGAGTCAAATGATGCGCTCCGTCGTGAACGGAATTGCGTAAGAATAGACGGTATAGGATATTATTTTAAAAAGTCTATAGTATAATTATTACTACTCACTCAGACGTCATATTTGTCAATACTCGCAGCCACGGATTTTTCCGTAAAATTATGACCGATATGTTCATAGTTCATATCATTATTATTATTTTCATTTTCATATTTTGTACAAAAAAGTGAAATATTTTGATATTGAATTAATAATTCTACGTCTTTGTCCTGACGCTGATGTACATATGAATGTGTTTTGTTTTCTGTTTGATCCTATCTTAAATTTTTGAAAGTGATCTTCACTACAGCAAAATGTCCGCTTCATGACTGATTTAAATTGTGTCGAAATGAGCCTTAAACACTTACTGTGACATAGCGCTACCTTAGATTTACAAAGTTCTATCATACCAGCTCAATACCTAGTTTACCGAAATTTGACGTCAAATATAAGTCAAGCTTTTTTATAATGCAGTTCTTTGAATATTATCTTGATAACGACTCCGAATAATCATACAATTACGATTTTGATAGAGCAGATTGAGCTACTTTAAAAAAAATGTGCTATATAAATGTTATATAATTTTGTCATTATTATTATTATTATCATTATTAATTTGGTTTTTGACCTCATCGTCTTAGTAAATTAAAAGGGCCAAACATGTCAGAAGGAACTTCGTAAATTTCTAAGGTAGCGATATTACAATTTCAACAACGTGCCTTGAAATAATAACTATTGTTGTGAGGCAAAAAGTGATTTTTATTTATCTATTACGTGTGTTCTCTTGCTCTTGAAATTGAAGCTATTGAAAGAAATCTCCTTATGACTTCTGGTTTGATTCGGTGTCTGATTTTCATTCACAATTAGTATGTGGAAGTTTTCAACTGCTGTCATTGTGCCTTACCCGCATCTGTGGTGTAACGGTTATTTTTTTCGCCGTAGCATTCGACAGACGTGGATTCGATTCCCATGCGTGTGGAGGTGGTCTTTAATTAATCGAGTATCTCCCCTTCTCCTACCTGTCCCCGTCGTTTTATGCAAGAAAAATTCTGAAATTATGCAAAATGAGCCCCAAAAATGTGAAATTACGCGATTCTGTTAATTTCAACAAAGAACGATTAAGGTAAATAATCTGAAATTATGCAAAAATAAT